TAACAGCAGATAGATTCCAGGAAGTAAATGCTACATAAATCATCTGCCCTAACTCAAGATGGCCATGACCAAAAATGCTAGGGGGTGTTTTTCAAAGTGATTTCTTATCAAAATAAAGCATGGAGACATGGATGGATGGGGGACTTTGCTTTGAATAATAAAAATTAAATAAATAGCATTTTTGGTTTGTAGTGCTTGGATGCAGTGTAGTTCCACTTTGAGTTACTGATATATTTTATCCTTCAGACCTTTCACCATTTTTGTTGCCTGTCTCTGGGCTTGTTCTTTTTTATCAATATAGTTTTGTAAGTGAGGTCTCCAGAACTGATCACAGAATTCTACATGAACTCTCACTAAATAGGACCTCCTCCATTCTGCTAGTCACTCCTCTAGTAAAGCATGGTAGAATTCTATTTGCTGTTCCCACTGCCTGGCCACACTGTTTTGCAATCATCTGAATGAGGTACTTCCAAATTGTTTTCCTCTATAGTGCTCGCCAACATCAAACCCTTAATATTTTACTCTTTTAATGGATTTTTTTCCCTAGGTGCATTATTTTACGTTTAGAAATATTGAACTGCAGTTTCAGCTGCTTTGACCAATCTTTCAGCAATGCCAAATCATGTCCCATGTTACAGGCACCTCCAGGGATATCAATCCTATTGCACACCGGTGTGACTAGCTCCTTGATCTCATTCCTCATCTCCCAGTCTGAGCTCTGCTGTACAGTGGATTGCAAGATACTAATTCCAGGTCAAATTCACTTTTGGCTTCAAATACAAAGTGAAAGTTCCTAGTAAATTATTTCAAATGCTCCACTCACCCGCCTGATCACATTGACATGCACACATACAGACCTCATACCAGATGTTTGCTTATTGTCTGGGTCTATTTTTTTATATCAAATAATTTTTATTGAAAATGTTTTAAAATCACATCTACATATATTCCATACATACAAATAACATAACATAACATACCCCACCCCGCTCCCCCCTTCCCACACACACATTGGTGTACCACTCTCTTACCTATATTATTAAACCAATTAGGCTATATTCTCAAATATAAACATAATGTACAATCATTTCTTATTTTCACATTTTAAAATTATTCTAACACTCTATTCACCACCCTCTCCATTAGAGGTCAAACCCATAGTATCCACCCACAGTCCCCATATTTTCTCAAAGACACCTCCTTTTTTGTGTAGATAAACCTTTCACTTCATACAGTATGTTATTACTATTTAACCGATTCTATACTTGTAGGAAGGTCCGATGCCAGCCATCTCTGTGCAATACGCTTCCAAGCCTGAAATAAACACCTATGCATTGCGATTTGTGTATTATATGACAGGGTCCCTCATTCATATAGCCCAATATACATAACTTAGGATCCAGCCCCAAGGACACCCCAGACACAGAATTTATGCTATCAAGAATATCTAACCAATACCTATTCACTTTGGGGCATCTCCAGATTGTCTGGGTCTCTTGCTTCAATTTCATTTTCTTCCAGACAGAAGAAATGTGTGGTCACTGAAGTAGAATAATTGTAGATCTGCTGAATGCTTATCTACTGACAGTTTGACTTTTAATTATGTTTCATCAAGCAACAAAATCTAAGTGTTCTGAACTACCGTCCCTGCATCATTGTCACGTGTCTGGATCTGTATCTTCACTTACAAAAATTGTAAGACTGGTCAGCATCCAAAACAATGATATGTACCAACAAAAAATGGCAAGTACCACTGCTTTCAGAAGTCCTTCCAGCTTCAGATTTAAAGTCGTCTTTTGAAACTGGGGTCACTTATTTCTTAGCAACAATCTCCATGGTGTGATTTATAATAATGTTTGTTGCGTTACTGTTTTGTGGCTGACTTTTTCCCTCTTGGGAGAATGCCTATTATCATCACAAGAGTGTATTATACTTAGTAGATTTGTATGAACTGGAATCGTATGTATTAGTTCTTGCCTCTTAATGTTGTGTTTTAAAAAAAATAGATATCATCTCTAAAATCTAGTACACTACTCTTGGATTTATGTATGCATTTTGTATTTTGTAAGGGTTACCATTCATACCACTCTGTATTTCCAACAATTAACGGTATAGACTTGCCGTTTTATATTTCACATTTACTTTTACATTTAAAAATTGATTAATGTGTCTTTTTCAGAATATTACTGTTTGCAAGATATTAGAATAAATGCCTGTCAACTACAGAGAACCACATCTGTGCTGATGTAATAAAGATCTCAGTAGCAAGGGTTAAAACATGAGAATGATGGAATGATGTCAAGAATATTTTTACCATAGAGAAATCTGTGCCCTATATATAAAACTTGTGGGAGGATTAGTTGTAGTACCAGTTTACTAATAACAGCTCTTCCCCAAAAATATCTGTATCAGATTGTTTCTCTCTTTCTCTTTCATCTGCATTATAAGTATTTTTGCTTTTTGATTTTTTTTTTTAAATTTGATTGGGGGGAAGCTTGAAGAGTATGACAGCAAAGATGACCAGATTGCTGCCAGGTGATTTAGGGCCACTTATTACTGGATACCAGAAGCTTTCAAAAGCCAGGAACACATCAGGCTGAGGCTCCTCACCTGCAAATGGTCTTCTTTTGACAATGGAGCTTCATATGTTAAACCTAAAGTAGAGATATGTCTGCAATGGCAGCATGCTGCACTTATCCTTACCTCCAAGCTTTTTGGACCTTAGGCCCATCCTCCAAAGAAATCCAGTAATGAGTTTATCATAAGTAAGTTCCTATTTGGTCTTTGCACCAAGGACTCATCCAATACCACTAGGTCCAGTGTGTTCCAGTTTGAGAAGATTAATATAAAGTTACTTCCAGGTGTGTGTTAGCACTCATTTATGGACATATTAGCATGCGTGCTAAGTAGCATACATGTAGATGCATGCGCACGCGCTGCACTGGTATTGGTGCCAAACAACCTATTTATATTTCAATGGTTTTTTTTATTAATTTTAAGTTTAAACAGTATAAAACAGAGGCAACAAAACACGCCCACGCAGGGGCTATCAATTGCACCGATAAAAAAAAAGCATAATAGAGAAAACAGTGCTCTAACTCCAACAAGGCAAAAGGTACTCCCACGCAGGGGCTATCAATGGCATATAAGTTACAATAACATTAATGTAACTCTGTCTGACTGTAACAGCTAAAGGCAGCTGTCCACTGTCACACCAAAAACAAACAGAAAAAGAGAGAAAGGAAAAAAACAAAACAAAAAAAAAACAAAGAGCAGGAGTCCAAGAGTGCCAATACCAAACACCAATGCCAAACGCCATTACATCCCCATACTAGCCGGGGGGAGCGTGGGAAAATCATATTGCAACCACAGCTCCCATATTTTCAAAAATTTACGCTGGGAGTCGTTACATATACTCGACATCTGTTCGTTGAGCATCATAGTGGTCCCCTGAAAAAGGACAAACAGACTCTTCCAGGCCTGAGCAATTGTTCTAGTGGCCGATAAAAACAAATAGGAAGCCAACTTCTGTTGATGAGCCAAGAGGCCCAGCATGGGGCAATGAAGCAAAGCATACCGAGCATCCCGGCGTATGGAGAGATGGAACAAAGTGAAAAGGAAGCCAAACACACGAGACCAAAAACGAACCAGTCTCGGGCATGACCACCAGATATGCAATACATCGCCATGATGGCCACAACCCCGAAAATATCGATCACTACAGGCAGGGTTAGCCTGGGCCAAAGGAGCCGGAACCCAATACCAATGAAACAATACCTTATAGGCTGCCTCCAGCGTGGTCGTATTGAATGAGCATTTAGCTATGAGTGACCAGGCCTTATTCTAGTCCTCCAGATCCACAGCCACTCCCAGATCGCGCTCCCACTGAACAACATATGAAAGAGAAGTATGTGACGAGCGTCTGTTCAGGGCTGCATAAAGAAGGGAGATAAGGCCCGGGCGCCCAGACGCTGCTGGCAAAGCTGTTCAAAGGCAGATTTCTGGTATGGGAAGCGAGAGCAGCCAGTGCTGCAATTAAAGGTATCGAAAAAATTCAGCCGGGGGAACATCCCGGGACTCCCGAAGAAAATTCCAGGTGGGGAAGGACTGAAAAATCAAAAAGTGTCGCACCTGCGAAAAACCATTAGCCACCCACCAAGAACAAACAACCTATTTAAGCTGGCATGTGAGATGGACAGATTGCTGAGTGCTCTTCAGCTAATTCTGCATTTACTTGTGACCTGACCTGTTACGTTTGCCTTCCTGTTTAGGACATGGCTTGCCTTTGACCTGTCGCTAGATTCTTGTCTACCCATTGTCACTTTGGCCTGTATCTTGACATTTTCTCTGCCTTATGTTCCTGATCCTCACTGTTTGGCTGTTGCTGTCCTTCTCCCTTATTAAAGTAGAACTATAGGCAAAACTTTTTTTTTCATTTTGGATGGAGTAAGGGAGGGTTATAGCCCCTGTCACATTTTGTTTTTCAATTCAAATCTCATTGGGGAGAATTCCCTTCAACTTCCTGTCCCATAGCCAGACAAGAAGTGATAGGAAATCCCTGCAAATTAAGGGAATTCCTTGGTACCCTCAGGTCATCAGAACTAGTGTCCCCAATGTAATATTTCCCCTCTGTTATTTTTCTGGGGACAACCCAGAATCTGGGATTTTTTTTTCTTTCACTTTCAATGATAATGGTAAACGGGACAAATAAAGTGTAAATCTCCTTATCGGGGGCACAGATGGCAATAAAACCTGACAGGTATTCTAATCTCTCTCCACTCTATTCAAAACTAAAAAAAAAGTTTTGTCTTTCGTTATACAGTACTTTAACCCAATAGGCAGTTTATATTTTTATTGTTAAGACCTGAAGTTTTGCTTTAAGAGACATTATAGTCTGACTTTGGGTAAATCAGAGAAAAGTTAGTACAGCCATTCTCAACCAAAGCACTATAGAACTGTAGGGTTCCTCCAGAGCAGGGGCAGACTGACCATTTGGGAACTCGAGCACTGCCCGAGGGCCCAGGGTCAGTAGGGGGCCCCATGAGATGCCCCTGGTACCTTTCATAGGCTTTTTTGGGTGTGGTTTAAGTTTGGGCGAGGACACAGGGGCCCCATGATCCCCTATTGCCCGGGGCCCCATGAGTTGTCAGTCCGCCCCTGCTCCAGAGGTTAATGCGGGTTTCTTGATCTGTGGTGGATTGACCTCTCATTTGACAGTATCTGCATCATCTTGGCAGAGCCAGCTGCATTACATCAATGGTTTTTTTAGTTGCCTGTAAGGATGGCATTCTTTTCACTGGCCACACATGTAAGGGGCATTTTTCACTCTGATCTCCAATGAAAATTATTTCAAGAGTTCCTCTGGGGTAAAAGGTTGATAAGGGCTGGGTTAGAGCCTCTCTTAGGTTTCTATGGCCATCTGTGCTCGTACTGTGGAGAATTCCTCTTCCTTCCTGTCAGGATAGCAAGTGATGGGAATCTGATGGGGACACAGGTAAAGACATATATTTAGTAAAGTAAGGAATGATTTTGTAATAAAATGCGTTTAATAATACTTGTGAGCCACTTATTATAATGTGATGAGGTTCGCTGAGATTAATCACATCTCCATACAATGTGTATAAAAAAAGAAAAAAAACAATAAATGTTGCGCTCCTAATTAGTGTTAATAATGTGTACCAACTTATACTCTAATTTAATTACTGCCAATTAAAACGTAATTAATGTGAATCATTCAAAAACAATAAAAATTCAAATTATTAAAAACAAAACAATTTGTGCCACCTAAATATTGCTCAAAAATTTAAAGTGAATTATTAAACGGTATAAAATTCTCTGGTGATAAATAAATGGTGCAATCCCAAAAAAACGATAATGTGATCCAAGATTGAATTAAAGTGAATTATTGAACGATATAAAAGTCTCTGGTGATAAATAAATGGTGACAATCCCAAAAAAACGATAATGTGATCCAAGATGATATTTGTGTCTTCCAGTGAATCCTTAATATGATTAGGCTATGCGCTCACCTAATATTTAGGCTTATTCCGCATTTTGTTCACAAATGGAACCTGGTGTGATTTGTTGCACCATATAATAGATGGTGGGTATCCCTTAAATGCTTCTCAATACTCCTCTCTTCATGTGCCAATATCCCTGCAGGGATCTCTCCCTCCTTCTGCTGCTGTTTGTCTCCTCCTCAATCCTGTGTTAGATGTTCCTCAGTAACATAGTGTAAGGAAAGAAATAGGGACATAGTGCCTTATCCTTTAAAACTAGACTTTTATTATATGCCCAAATATTGTACTCACATCTCATAAAAATATAAATCACTTTCCAAAATGACAATCTTTAACTGTGTGCAGAGTGACGTCGTAGCCCTTCCCCTATGCGTTACGCCACAGGTCACGTGGCTTCATCAGGGGGTTGCGATTGGACATTCACTTCACCCATACTACTTTATATAGCCGATCTCCGCCATTTTATTTGTTAGCTACAAATATCATCTTGGATCAAATTATCGTTTTTTTTTGGGGATTGTCACCATTTATTTATCACCAGAGACTTTTATATCGTTTCATAATTCACTTTAATTTAATCTTGGATCACATTATCATTTTTTTGGGATTGTCACCATTTATTTATCACCAGAGACTTTTATATTGTTTAAATAATTCACTTTAATTTTTCGAGTAATATTTATTATTTAGGTGGCACAAATTGTTTTGTTTTTAATAATTTGAATTTATTTATTTTTATTGTTTTTGAATGATTCACATTAATTACGTCTTAATTGGCAGTAATTAAATTAGAGTATAAGTTGGTACACATTATTAACAATAAATTAGGAGCGTGACATTTATTGGTTTTTTCTTTTTTTATACACGAGGAATGATTTTGTCTCATTGACAACCACAGCACCAATTTCTTATTTGAACAGCACAAGGACAGGAAAAAAATATCCCCAATTGGTCACAAACCAACATCAAAACCTGCCAAATGTTTCTATTTTTTTAAATTGGAGTTTAACTGTATTTAAAGGCAAGAACAAAAGTTTAATATATAGCAGGTTTCCTGTCCTTAGATGTAGTGGGGGCATTAGTTTTCTTTTTTTAAGGTTTGTTATTGTCTCCTGGTGATACTGCCAGCAACACACTTCCTGTCTTAGGGTGGCTACACTCACTCTTTCACAGTATCTATGGAAGAGCAACATAGCCACCCTTGTACAGCAGCATTGTCAACCAATGAAGAGGGTAGTGTTAGGTGGACTAGTAGAGTTAGATGGACTTTATATAAGTGACCAACAACTTAAAGTCTAACGCCAACTAACACCTTTTTAAACAGTTACAGCAACAGTTTTTTTCCCTTTTGAGTTAAAGGTTGTTACATAGATGAATAAGCACAGGTGAATAAACACAGAGCACTGTCAGTGTTAAATGATTTGTCTCAACCATCTAAGGCTGGGTTCACATATGTGCAGTGCAGTATATCACATGTGATTCGCACAGCAACCGCACCGCATTCCTGTGTAAATCACATGCGATTTGTGTGTGGTGCAATCAAAGCCATACATTTTGTATGGCTCCAATCGCACCGCACCCGCACCATAAATGTGCAGGACCATTTTTTTGGTCCGCACTAGAATCGGATTGCATGGGTATTTACACCTATGTGATCTGATTCTGCACATCGCACCACATTTTGCGGACTGCTTTCAGGGTGCTGTTAACTTTAACACACCCGCAGTGGTTCGCATGAATGGGGTGCGATTCTGAAGCAGTGCGGAATTCGCACAGAAACCACTGCGAATTCCGCACCACATCAGTGTGAACCAGGGCTAATTGTTACTTTTTCTACACAGCTCCACAAAATGACCCGGTCATGCAAACATTGTGATTGGCTGGCATAACGATCACATGATCCTTCTGACCCCCAATCGGAAACAGAGACTGGTGACAGCTCAGTCAGTGTGCTGGGAGTGCACAGTGAGCAAGTTCTCAGTACAGAACCACAGAGCAGTATGGACACATATTATCAGGGCTTTTTTTCAGGGGGAATGCACTGAATGTACTGTATGTAATGACAAGGGATCCTGGGGTGTGCAGTTTTTGCTGGCTGTGAGGGGTCTATTGTTGCTGGGGGGATATATTTTTGCAGGGGGGTCTCTTGTGCTGGACAGGTCTATTAATGTTGGTGGGGGATCTATTGTTGCTTGGGATGGGTCTTATGTTGCTGGGCGGTCAATTGTTGATAGGATGGATCTACTGTTGAAAGAAGGGTCTAATATTGCTGACTGCTGGGGGATCTATTGTTGCTAGGGGAGGGAGGTCTATTGATGCTGGGAGATTTATTGTTGCTTGTGGGTCTATTGTTGCTGGAGGAATATATTGTTGCTGGGGGTGGATCTTATGTTGCTGGGGAGTCAATTGTTGATAGGCTGGATCTACTGTTGAGGGAGGGATCTAATATTGCTGACTGCTGGGGGATCTCTTGTTGCTGGGGTGATTAATTGCTGCTGAAGGGGTCTATTGTTGCTGGCTGCAGGGGATCTATTTTACTTTTCTTGTTATTAACAAATTCCATACAAATTACTTACACCACAAAATGATACTTGGTGCTGTATTCTCTAAAAGGGCGGTACTGGGAGAGGGTGGAACCAAGGAGGGGGTGGAACCAAGGAACAGTGCTCGGAGGTGGGTAGGTGGCAGAGACAAAGGGGTGACTTGGAAAGGGAGAGTTCCTGAACATATTGTTTAAGAAAAAAGCTGTGCACACTGTTATTTTGTACAGTGCTTGTAGGCGGGGGCTAGGCATTAAGGTCCACTTGTCCTGCTGCTGCATATATGTGTTTCTTCAGTGGGAAGAGGTTAAAGTAAATTAACAGACTTACTGGCAGGATCAATAGGTAACACAACTATGTTACAGAGTTGACTACTTTTGTTATTGTTACTGACAGACTGCATCATATGTCATTTTTTATTTTCCCCAAAGTTTCATTGTAAGGATTGATTTTACATCAGGTGTATTGCTGTACAAAATGTATTTACCTTTTATATCAGTGTCCAATGACCTGTGACAAAACATCACTTTGTAGAGGGTTGTCTTTGTACTGCAACTAGGTTGCAGGTATACATTGAGAAGAGGACGAAGAGATATTGCCTATACTATGTTGACTATATATTTGTTTTGCTAATGTATCTCTAGCAACCTCAGAAACATTGATCTAACCTTGATTAGTCATTTTCCAATTTGATGCATCTTCTTTGTCAATCATATCAGCTGTAGTAATTGCCTGCAAATCAATCACATAAAATGTATTGGGTAATATATGTGTTTGCATGAAACCTTGGAGCTCTCCTGGATTTGTTACATCGTGTTGCTGGGTATTTGTCTCTGGCTCTCTGATACACTGATTGGCGCACAGTAATAATTGTGTGTATACCCACATGGAAGAAAAATATATTTGAATTATATTTAAAAAATATTCTTCCCAAATATATTGCCATATATTTGAAATACTACAACAAAATATATATATATATATATATATATATATATATATATATATATATATATACACCACATGTTGAAATGCATTTTTATTACAAAATTAATGAACACTATTTTTTAAAATACATTTCAAATATACTGTATGTCTTGGAATGCATTTACAAATATATGTAAAAATATATGTTAAAATGACTTTTTTATATGTTAAAAATAATCGGAAGAATATATTTAAAAACATATATTTTTAAGAATATATATTTTTAAAATATATTCTTCAGATTTTGAAATATAGTATTTCAAATATATGGCAATATATTTGGGAAGAATATTTTTAAAATATATTTCAAATATATTTTTCATCCATATGGGTATCACCACTGTAGTCTGTATATGTGGAAAATGGTTGCAATTACACAGCCCAAAAAATCTTTTTTCTTGGGGCTTTTCCTTTTAGACCTGTTCTTGAGGTTATTTGGTATGCTGATTCAGAAAGTTACATTGGCTAGATTGCATCAGCTCTAGTCACTTAGATATGGTCAAATTTATATAATTATTTTAGATAGTTTTTGAAAAGATCTTGCTGATTAACTTATTTTTCTGTTACTTAGATTGTGTTTTTGCGCTCAAGTT